TGAATAAAATCCAAGATACCTTTCTGAGACGATATCTAAATCTCCCAAATTATACCTGAGGATATATTTTAAGGATAGAAACAGGAAGAACATCTCTCGCAGTGATAGCAAAAAAATATTATCGTTAAAATTCTGGCTAAGAACACTAAAAATGGACACTACGAGATTACCTTCAATCTGTTTGGCTCACTTATGGAATGTTCATACCTCTACAAGACAAAATATTGGATTTACAAATAGTTTAACAAATACATTAAATAACACCGGTTTCTCATAGCTTATCGGATGCTCTGATCAGAATTTAGTGCAAAGTTATATTTCTTTGATTATTAGGATAATGTCAGATCAATCGATACACGAAGACCAATCAAGAATAAGATATTCAACACTTTATTCACATTATACAAATTTCCATACGTCAATAGAAACAGAATGCTACCTAAACGATTTCCCTTTACCAGTCAAACAATGCATAGCTCAATCGAGAATACTATTTACAGTCTTAAAAAAAACACGTTCTGACGTTTTAGGCCAAAACCCTAATATGTACACTGTGTGACAAGGAAATTACTCAAGAACTCCCCCATTACCTGCTTGATTGTACAGCCCTTGAAGAAGAAAGGAAAGCCTTATATCAACAAATTAAATGTACCAACATTTCACTCTACGTATTGCTTTCCAAAATATCAGCAAACAAATCTAAGACAATAGATTACTATACATTTTTAGGTCATCATTCTGTAAGGACCAGTCAACTATTAAATGACTTTGAGACGAAGAGTATAGCCAGTTCAATTTCTATCTTACTACTTATGTAAATAACACAAGATGATTATTACCTTACCCAATTGGGAGGATCTGTATGGGGCATGTCCCTAATAAAGGCTTTGTGTGTGTGTGTTTTCATTACGTGTTTTTCATTCCTTACCGAAGATGAAGAACTCCGCAGAAAATCTTTCGCATTCTTAGTAGCGACAGACTTGTCCTGAATAGCATTCGCAGTAAGAACAGATTTGTCTTGATTCGTGTTTACAGTTGCGACAGAATTGTTCTGAATAGCATTCGCAGTGGAGACAGACTTGAATATCATTTGCATTAGGAACAGATTTATCCTGAATAGCATTCGCAGTAGTGACAGAATTGTCATAAATTGTATTTGAGGTAACGACAGGGTTTTCTTGAAGTAGCGATAGACTTGTTCTGATAACATTCGCAGTAGCGACAGAATTTATATTAATCGCATTTGAAGTAGCGACAGGGTAAAGTCTTGAATAACATTCGCAATAGCGAAAGAGTATTATCTTGAATAACATCCGCAGTAGCGAGAAAAGAGTCTTTAATATTATTTGCAGTAACGATGGACTTGTCTAGAATTGAATTCGCAGTAGCGACAGTTTTGTCTTGAATCGCCTTCCCAGTATCGATAGTATTAATAGCATTCGCAGTAACGATAAACTTCAGTAGCATTCGCAGAATCAACAAGCTAGAGTAGCATTCGCCGTTGCGACTGACTAAAGTAGCATTCATAGTAGTGACAGTTTTTGATAACATTCGCGGTGGCAACAGACCTGTCTTGCATCACATTCGAAGATCGAATGGATTTTTCTCTCATATAAGTAAATTATAATTAAATCAAAATATGTTCTCGGCAGGCTATTTATTCATATCAATATTCAAGATTGCTTCCAAGAAATATCAATTCTCATAATATATTAGTGTTCAAACATATTATCCTACAATCAATATATCACAAAAGATATCATTATTCGAAGTCATCTGAATTGACAGTTAACTTTCTAAATAAATATATCTTATATATTTTCAAAATATAAATGGTAAAATATATTCATTGTTGGCAAAAATATTTGAAAACTTTAGTAAATATTTTAAACGAAAAGTCTATATAAAATAGAAATAGAGAGAAAATTGGTATAGATCGTGTCAAAACATTATCTCAAAGGTCAACAAAAGCTTTAAATTGAAATTATCAAAAATGATCCATCATTCAAAAGTTCACAGATTCAGTAAAAATATATTTAGGTCCGAACTAGTGTCCTCTTAAAAAACGTGGTCTCAGTTCATCGATCTTTTATCGAATTTTCTGTTAATATATAAGCAAACATAACAACAATTATTTTTGATTGTGATAACATTAATTTAAAAAATTGTTCAGGTGAAAAAAAAAGATGTTTCTGCCAGAGCTCGAACCTGGGACCTTCCGCGTGTTAGGCGGATGTGATAACCACTACACCACAGAAACATATATTTGAACCATTATTAGCCACTTCAAAAAGTATAGATTCCAAAATAAATAGAAAAACTTTTTGATCATTGTATAAGGCAACATTGATACAGTTTCGCGTGATTTGATTTTTTTATACCTTTCATGCGGGTTATTATACAGTTTTTAAATAAAAGCAATTGATATTAGTCTCTTTTTCTTTAAAAAAAATGTCAAATTAACATATTTCGAAACTATAAATTTCTTTAAGAAAACAAGGTAATATGCAAAAATATATTCAGATTAAATAACTATAATATTTCCAAGGTTTATAATTAACGATATTTCGCGCTTAAGGTTCTTCGACGGTACTAGTAGTAAATATTTCTAACCTATAGACCTGCTGTGGAAAAACTTAGGCTTGAAAGCTTGCGGTTCAACATTTTGATTAAAAAAGAAACTATATCAATATATTTGCTAACATTTAACTTTGTTTCCATTTTTAGAAATATGTATAAGCCTTATGCGGACTTTGTCTTAAACTGGGCCAACCATACTCTATACACGCTATTTGTGGACTCTATGCTCAGTAATAGTTAAAATAGTTTCGTGATAAGTTCTCTAGACTTGATAAAAAATAACTAAAGAAAGATTTTTACTCTAACTTATATTTGTTGGACTTAAGTGGTTCCAATTGATTCATCTCTCGAGTAAGTATAATTACATTCTCATTAATACCGCATTCAGTTTTCACCTGTGTTCTGACAGGTTTTATTTAAAAACAATTCATCAATCAGGATAATTGTAATACGTTCCTTTATTAGTTTGAATTGGAAAATTTCAAACGTCAGCTCATCATTAGGCCAATTGTTTCGTAAATCCCTACAATATATATATAGAGAGGTATATAAGAGAGTGTAATTTACATATTTAAAACGTTTATAAATAGCTAAATATGGAATATACTTCTAATATTTAAACTCTAAAACTGATTTACTTATACCAAATATATCGATTAGAATTTTGAAAGATATGCTAAGCAATAAATTATTTCCAATAAAAATAATTATTAAATTATTAAGAAAACCTTGTAAGCACGGATTACAGATCATAGCTCCCTATAGTAAAACACTATGGATTTATCTGCGTGATGAGCATTGTGATATTGCCGCTGTATTTTCAATCTCTGGTTTATTTGATACTAGCGATGTACCCGGCTTCGCCCGGGTTTTACCCGAGTAAAGGTTTGTCTAACGAACATTTGTTAAAACAATTCTGATGAGGCACAATTTGGATTGTAGATTATAAACACAAGGTAATAAGACCAAATCCAAATAAATAAATAGTGTGTGAGGTTTCGATAACAGCGTTGTTACCATCTTCAGACAAAAGTACTGAATGAGAGAATTTTACCACATAGCATGCTGTGGTAAAATTCTCTCATTCAGTACTTTTGTCTGAAAATGGTAACAACGCTGTTACCGAAACGTCACACACTATTTATTTATTTGGATTTGGTCTTATTACCTTGTGTTTAAAACAATTCTCTATAAACTTATAAAAAAAAATAATAGATATAGATATTTTAATAATTTGAAACTCGTAAATTTGAATCTCTCGATAAAGTGAACATTTTTTTCCGGGCCCTTGAGATATACTCAATAAGTTGAATAAAATCAATATTAATTGGTTCGCTCGGTAATTGGAAGTTAAAGGAATAGTATCTTGCCTTGGAATTGTATCATTATTCTTGTCTCAAATAAATTGCCGTGTCATCCTGAATTTTGTCTTTCCTAATTTTCTACATTACAAAATCATCATTTTATCTATTCTCCCAATATATATGTTGTAGATAAATGATAAAACTAACTTTGACTTGTGCGCAAATAATAGGTAGAAAATCTTACTTTTGATAAATAATCTTTAAGATAATAAATTTAGTGAGAATAAATCTTATAGATAAAAAACTTGTTATCCCCCGCTAGGGGGCGCTGCTTGCGAGTTAAATCTACAAATCTGCAAATAACTCTAAGGATATTCAAGATATTCAAGAAATTATTTTTCAAAAACCTTCCCGGGGATAAACCTAATAATATCCCAATTTTTCACGGCGATTGGATGCATGGTTTTTGAATCTATAGAGTACACACAGACAGACATTCAATTTTATATATATATAGATTAATAACTCAAAATGGCTCTTTTATATTTTGAAAATATTTTTGGAAAATAAACGTCCTGTAGGTTGAAGTGGTGCCAGTGAAATTTTCATGCTGATATATTAATGCTCTATTGTCTTGATTTTTAATATTATGGATGTGCTCTTTAATTCCATTGGCGACTGATTGGATTGTTTCTCCTATATATTGGAGGTGCACTGTAAACAGGACTGTAATTCGATATAACTGTCTGTATCTGGTCATAATTGGTTGTAGGCGTGCTTCTGTATGAATTAAAGTGGAAATCCGTAATTCTGCAGGTTTCGAATAATTTTGACTTTTTTTCTTCTTTTGAATACAGGAAGAGAGAAAGCAATTCGTACTAAGTCTTTAAGTTAGCGTTTTTCACTATTGATATTTTATGATTTATTGGACCAAATTATTTAAAACTATGATATGATATTTCTATCCCTTTTTGTAAAAAAACTAAAATATTTTTTTTTTGCCTATAAAGATGACTATATTCAAATAAGGTAGTATTGCTTTGGGTTCTGTCGAATTTGTGAATTTTATCTGGGAGTTGTAGCATTTTCAAAGGGTTTAAAATTTAATGTTCTCTATTTATTTAGAATTTACCGTAAAATACTATCGACACGCAACCTTCTGATCTGGAGTCAGACGCGCTACCATTGCTCCACAAAAAATATCATCGATGTATCAGTACCATTTCTCTATATCTAATTCTTCTAAACTACTATCCATTATATCCAATTTCAACGTGGCGATTTCTGGATATACATTAATTTCTGTATATGAGACTAGCCGAATGACCCGGGCAACGCCCGTGTTTTACCCGATTGAATGTTTTTATTCAAATACTATTTGTTACAATTATAAATTGGCGCCTTAAATAAATGCATATATTAGTTAATAACTATAGCCTATGTGCTTTATCTGTCTATGTACTGTTGGCTTCCGTAGGCGTCTCTTACTGGGAAAAAGAAAGAGAGGATTCCATTTAGTTATTAACTAATATATGCATTTATTTAAGGAGCGACCCGCTCCAACACAATAGTTACAAAAACCAAAAAGCGAGTGGGGGGGGGGGGGGGGCAAAGGTGGCGTGATCGTAGCCAACCAATAGGAGAGCGCCATTCCAAAAAAAAAAAAGGAAACGGTGACAGAGATGAAGGATTAAGAACGCATGACGCTCGTAACTGTATATAGAATTATGCACTATTGGCAGGTTACTTGATATATGGCATTGTGCTAATTTTTAGTTTCTATTTCGATTTTAAATTCGGTAATAGGATCCCCCCCTCTCCTCTACCCCCCTTATGATTTGACCTATGGATTTATTGTTGCTGAATAAATATCTTATGCCGAATTTATTTAATTCATGAGCCAGTTTTTGATCGGTTGGAAAATTTTTCAGGTAAAATTCACATTGATATGCAGTCTGTTCTAGGCAAGAATTGGTTATAGGTGTGCTTCTGTATGAATTCTAGTGAAAATCCAAAATTTTGCAGGTTCCAAAAAATATTGAGTTTTCTATTTTTTAGGTAGAAATCAATGCGTACAAATTTCTTTAGATAGCGTTTTTACTTTTGATATTTTATGACCTATTGGATAAAATATATTAAAACTAAGATATGCTTCTATTCCTTCTGTAATAAACCATAGAATTTGAAATATTTATTCGGTTCTAAAGATGAGCACATCTAAATAAGCTACTACTGCTTTGGGTTCTGTCTCCATTGTGAATTTGATTTAGAGGTTGTAACTGCTCGAAGTGTTCAATATTTGATGTCATTTATCTATTTTATATTGTTGCACCAGGCTGCGGTTTGGCAGATTCTTCAGTCTTGATTCTCTCTTCAGACGCGTCTTGCATCTCTCCAGAACGTGTCTCAACCATTCTAAAAGGTTAAACCAGTCAATAATAAGACAACTATATATTTAGGTAGCATTTCTCCACCCTGGTTCGTTCGGAACACAATCCTCAGGAATGATCTAAATATCGAAAACATCAATGACTACATTATTAGACAATCATTTAAATTCTACGAAAAATCCGAAAAATTAGAAACCCCACCTTTAAGGAAGCCACAAACTACAAATGCGGAAAAAGTAAAATAAGAAATTTAAAATCTAGACAAATTCTCCATCAATTAAGCCAGAATGACGAAAAGTGGAAAAAAGGAAAAACAAACCCACCTTGAGAACAATATCCCCAAGGACCTGAGGACCCAACGACATCATTATAAATTATAATTGTAAATGAACCCCTGTACATAACCACCCCCGTCAGTAAATTTTAAATATGATGATATAGGTTGCTCTTTTTGAGCGCCACCTAATAAAGTTATTTGGAACTTGGAACTAGAATCTCTCTTTATTTATCACATCAAAGTTTAAAGCAGGTAGGGTATTTAGTGTATCAAAATACAAATGTTTTATAGTACATAATATTTTATAGTAATAATCTGTTTTATAAAAATAAATAAATATATAATTTAAATTTTAAATATATTAAAAATAATATTATAAATAATTTTTAAAATACGCGCATTAATCATGATGCCACAATATTCACAAAAAAAATATATCATCAATGTACCCGTACTGTCTTTTATGCCTATTTCTTCACACCCATTGATATATTTTCAAGGTATGATAATAAAATTCGGGAAATTGGGTTATAAATTTATTAGATGAATATATACAAAAAATTGTTAATATTCCTCAAATTACTGTCCGAAGGAATCTATACAGCGTTTCATTCTTTTTTTCCCAGTTCCGGAAGCACCCATAAAATTCGTCAGAAATAATGCCCCTCGAAACGCTCAGCGAATTTTCCTTTATGGCATTAACGGTATCAAATCTATGTCCTTTTAGAACTGACTTCATTCTAGAAAGGAGAAAGAAGTCATTTGGTGCCAAATCAAGCGAGTACAAGGGATGAGGCATTGCCAACATGATATATATATTTAGTCAAAAAAGCACCCACGGAAAGAGCTCTGTGTGCTGGGGCGCTATCGTGATGAGGCATCCATTCGCCCGAGATCCACTTTTCTGGTCGTTTCTTTCGTATTTTTTTCCGAAAACGGCGTAAAATCTCTAGATACGCGTGTTGATAATTTGTTTGTCTTTGTGGGAGGAATTCATAATGCACAACGCCTTGGTGATCGAAAAATGTCACTAAGAGAACCTTTGTTTTTGACTTAGACATTATTGCTTTTTTCGGTTTGGGGTCATTTTCCGGGAGCCACGGGCTCGATTGTCGTTTGGTCTCTGGGTCATACCCATAGACCCAGGTTTCATCATCAGTAATCCCCTTTGTGAGGAAATTTGGATCTTCATGGATGTTAAATAGCCAATCCTCGCAGGCATTAACCCTTTCCTCCCTTCTGCCTTCCTCCAAGATCCATTGTAATAAACGCCGCGCCTTTGTTTCTTTTCTTTAAAAAAATGCTTATAAAATTCTTATTATTTGAGATATCAAAAAGGTATAAATATTTTCTAGTAGAACGAAGTCCCGTGATTATGATGATAATTTTTATTTTTCAAAAACTCTTTCAGATTTTTTTTTTACTAATTCCCCGAACTTTTTAATCATACCTTGTATATATATCCAATTACACGCCATGACTATTTCCGCAACTATTAATCTTAACAGTTCTCCCGTGGGGAAACTACAAAAAAACTGTTAAATTCCATCTTTAAAAAAAATAATTATTGAGAGGCAGAGCTGGAATAACGCGATGACTATTGCTTTCTATGGCATCAGTAGAACTTTCACTTTGTGTGTCCTTTAGATTATCTATTAGGAAATGGAGAGATGGACTAAGAAATAAAGAAGCTACATCAATGGAGCCGATTTTAAATCCCGGTGTTGGTTTTGAATATCTTGCTTCATTTGATAATTCAGATATGTTGCTTATTGAATAGCCGTTGGCAGAACGAATCACAGGAGATAGGTCTGAGGTCAGGAACTTGGATATTTTGGACATAACTGGCGAAAGATGATAAGTAATTATTGGTCTGAGCGGGATATTCTCCTTGTGAATTCGCGTTAGGCCGTAGATGTATGAGATTGTGTAATTGTGTTAGCTTTTTCGATCTGTTTGGATACATTAATATCTTCAAAAATCTTTTTGATCTTCTTAGAATAATAATATTTGCTCATGATTACGGGGGGGGGGGGGGGGGGCTCCTTTGTCAGATTTAGTAATAACCCTATTTGTATTTTGTTATTTGATGGCGGTTATTTCACCTTTTCTATTTGTGGTATCTTTCTTAGTTTATATCAATATGAAAAAATATTATAGATAAGGGGATGTAGCTCAGATGGTAGAGCGCTCGCTTAGCATGCGAGAGGTACTGGGATCGATACCCAGCATCTCCATTTTTTTTTTTTTTTTTTGCAGTTTTAGTTTAAAATTCATATTTTTACATGTTTCCTTTCATTATACCTTCAAATTACAACCACTAACCTTTTATTAATATATCTTAGGCACATATGTAAAATTATCTTGATATATTATAAATGAAATTTTTAAATAAAGGCGAAAAAATTATATAAATATATTATATATAATAACATATTAATAAATATTACACCGGATAATAAAACTTTTGTATATAGATAGCTAGGTATAGTTCAATATCTTTGTGGAGGAGATTGCTTAAAACTTTAAAACTAAAAACTAAGTTTGATAATTACTACGAAACATACACAATCGCCTTCACATTTAGGATTCAGAACTTAATGTGATTTATCATGACCAATTGAAAAGTAAGTTTCATATTTCACAAAATATTTAACTTTTCCCCTCAATATACGATGGTATTCCCCCACTGATTTTTATTCATATAAATCTAGTTTTTCAATAGTGGTAGCTGAAATATGTGTCTTCTCCTTTTTAGTGCATTCTAAAATAGGCTTTCCAAAATATTTTTCTCAATCAATTAATTATTTAAATTTTAGCCATAAAATTTATAAATCAAATGCTTCTAACCTTCTATTCTTAGATTATTGATGAGGAAACTTCGGGAACGGGAGATAGGGGTGAACACGTGATCACACTTTCTTGTCACCAGCTCATGGTAGTCCAATGCTCAAATAAATAAGTATTGGAGCGATATAGAACCTCGAGACACTAGTTAAATGTCGAACAATTTGTTACATTTCACCCAATATATGATTATAGTCTTCCCCTTTTATTTTTTTACTTTATATATGCAATAGTTCAAAGGCTATGCTGAATTATTTGAAATAATACATTTTTTTTAAATTTTTATTGTGGCTAATTTGAAATGTTCATATAATTCTGTGATAATGATCAAAATTATTTATAACTTTGAGGTTTCTTACTACCCTCTTATTATTATTATTTTTTTTTTTTTGGAAGGCTGGACGCTTAATACGCTAAGGAAATGGTTGCAACTATTTTCTTCATTTAAAAATAAATATAGAAATTCTATCTCTAGTCTATCTCCAGCCACCTAATGTCTGATATTTTGTACATTAAAAATTATAGTAATATTTACTAGTTCTATAAAATGCCAGATATCTACGTGGTCTGGAAATATCTTTAAAATTGAGAATGAAATTTAAAAACAAATATAAAATTAAGATAACAATTCGAGAATCAAGGGACGAGTGTCTTTTATACGTTGATTTATTGTAAAACGCTCAAGC